TGTGCCTCCCCCGCTGGGGACTAACATCTAGTGACCATGCGAACAACAGTAGTGATATTCCCAGCGTAGTAATCACAAGCTTTAGTATTGAAGATGTTTATCATACCCTTGAAAAAAGCCTAAATTTACTGCGGGACCTGATCATATTCTAGCATTCATCATAAAAGATTGTGTCTCAGCTCTGGTTGAACCACTAACAACTCTAATTAATATATGCATGAAAACATCAACTGTACCATCAATATGGAAAATGACGAAAGTCTGCTCAACTTTCAAAAAAGGAGATAAAAGTGAGATAAAAAATCACAGACCAATCTCTATCATATGCAACTTTTGTAAAGTGTTTGAGATGCTTCTTGATAAGACAATTTATTGTCATGTCAGCAACATTATTAGCCCCAATCAACACGGTTTCATGAAAGGACGTTTAGACACCACCAATCTTGTAACAATCACGCAATGTATTGCAGAGGGTATTGATTGTTAGTCTCAGACTGATGTCTTCTGCACTGATTATTCTAAAGCGTTCGACAGACGACCATAGTATCCTGCTCAACAAGCTTTCGACTTTTGTGTCATCCAATGAATTAATTACCCTCTTCAAATCGTATTTTAACAACCGTAAGCAGTACGTCCAACTCAATGGTCTCAAGTCTATCGAATAAATAGCCAATTCTGGTGTACCACAAGGATCAAATCTAGGACCCCCACTGTTCAATATGTTCATTAATGACACCGGAGCTGAGATTGTGTCAATTTCCTTTTATACGCATATGACTTGAAACTCTATCACAATATAACATGTTGTAATGATTGCGAACGTCTCGCCCTGAATTTAAGTCGCATTGCTACATGGTGTCAGAAAAAAAAATCTATCTCCCAACATATCCAAATGTAGTGTAATATCTTACTCACTGAAAACGATCTTGAATTTACACAACTACGTCATAAACAGTCAAGTTCTGGAGCGTCCTGACACACTCACTGATCTAGGTGTTAATTTTGATTCATCTCTCTCTTTTAATAAACGTATTGACACTACTCTAGCAGCAGCTTATCGCATGTATGGATTCTTAGTTAGTTATTTCACTTTTGTTCGATCTAGACTGGAATATGCATCTGTCTTGTGGAGTCCCTGCTATCAGGTTCATATAAATCAACTAGAAGCCCTACAGAGGCGCTTACTGAAATATATGTCTTTTGAAATTGAATAGCCTACTGTAGGAATACCCTATTATGAATTGCTTGTGACTCACAATTTTTGTAGTCTCAAGGTAAGGCGTAAATATTATTCATTTCTTATTTTATTCAAGGTCATAAACAATATCATCACCTGCTCTCAAGTGTTACATATGTTGAATTTTTGGGTTCCTAGACGGTCATCTAGGAATAGTGGCACATTATATCTCAACACTCCGCGTACAAATATATTGAAATAATCCCCAATTTATACAATGTGTGATACCTCTAATTCTTTTAGTCATGTCCTAGATATATTCAACTGCCAGATTATACAAATCAAAAGACATTTCTTAGCTAACTGACAGTTCTGTTTTTAATTTTTTAAATATAGATTCACAAATTATATTATGTAAGTACATATTTGTAAATGCCACTGTTACTCCTTATTCTGTAATTGGGTTGATCCTATAGAATAGTGTATGAAATAAATAAATGAATATAAAAAATTTGGGAAACTTTCAGAGGAAGGATGATAGCAATTTCACAATGAACCCTCTGAAAAGATGTGCCAATCATGCATAGAAGTAATTTTTAGATACATGTCCATTCGAAACAACTACTTCCATATGCACATTGAATTACATGAAAGACAAAATACTTTCGAAACAACTACTTTCACATTAACATTGAATTGTACGAAAATCACTTTTCCTCATATTCAGTTTGTAGTCCAAACAGTTGTTCTTTCCCAAAAACTCATCTCTCCTGAAAATATACCGGTTCCAGTATTATTTACTCCTGATAAAATGCTTCTGTTTAAATATTCCAGTCAGATTAGAACTGAGAGTAGTTGGTTTAAGCCGATCCCCCACCCTCTCCCAATTTAACCTTGAAACGACCTTTACCTACGTCACACGACGTAGTCAATCTGACTTTAAAGGAGTAATTTGACTTTGACCTTGGATGGCCTCGACCTACATGACACGACGCAGACAAGCTGACTTTGAGGTAGTGTTCGACTTCGAACGAGATTGATTTGCGCACATTATTTTCGAGAAAGAATTTGATCTCGCATGAACTTGAGTCAGTCACGCAGCTATCTTAAAATTTTGAGGATTCGACCTTGAACGGAGTTTAACTGTATGAACAAGATCGCTTTTAGAGTCATATTTTTCACAAAGTGACTTAAACCCCCAATGAACTTTGAAAATTGGGGATTATACATTGAACGACCTTCAACTGCATCGACCAAGAGGCTTTTGAAGTGCCTTTTTTGTTTGACTTTGAGTTTGACTTCTGCAATATCACATTCCTATGCTGAAGAGAGTTAGAGGGCGCATACACAATCTCTTTTCCTTCTCACCTTCTGGAAAACCGTATAAAAGAGGGGTCACTCACTCACAGGGAGTCAGTTTAATATCGCATGTAGTGAATATTCCTACAAAAATGTTTCACTGTGATAGTTGCGGGAAATGATAATATGCGTCGCCATCAACTGCAGTCCCACAGGCCGCATGACGATCCAGAACCCACCGCAAAAAGACCCAGAGTAGATTCTGCCCCAACGAGTTTACTTCAGGAATTGTGCAACTATTCTCACATCATTAATTCTCACATTCAGAATTCACACATCGTAACAAAAAAGCACAAAACAATTCCTGTAGAGAATTTAAGGAAGTTATAAAACTCATTCAAATATATTATTACTCATTCATTCATGAGCGTTATACATTATCACACCGAATTGGTTGTTTTTTCGATGATTTAACTTTCAAATTCGTTCTTTATCGTGGGGAAGATGCTGCCAAAGTATATGTAACCAGGCTGAAGTCTCACCTGAGCGCTATCTATTATAAATATTTAAATCCCATCTACCAATGAAGCCCTCAACAGACTCGGAAGATAATGGATTTTTAATCGCTGATAATTTCGGTAATCGTTGAAAACTAGTTGATTGGTATCAGAATAAAAAATCATTGTCACCTGACGAGAGAGAAAATATATTAAACTGCATCTTGATGCAATTTGAATCATAAGTTAGCGAATTTCGTTTCAATAATTTTCCATAATTTCAGCGGCTATGACAGCCACTTGTTCATGAAAAAGTTGTTCACTAATAAGAATGAAGGATTCAATAGTTTTATCAAATTCCAACGTCAGTGTCGCAATTTGAAAATTTTTATTCCAGAATCATTTGTGGCTCTTCTACGCCTTCGTAAAAAAACATTTTTGACAACATTACGAGGTTGTCAGTGATAGCTCCACCTCGAAGGATATCCTGGATTTTATACTAAAAACTTACACCTTTTTTTGGAATTCATTATTTTTTTGCAAACATGACTTGTTACGAAAAACGTTTTGTTTTCTTTTTGGAACGAATTTTTTGAAGCAGATATATGAGTGAATTGATCTAATTGATGGAACGGAATTACAGTATTTTACAAAATACATATTTATAACACCATGATGATCTATTAAGAAGAAACTAGAAAACACAACAGTGAAAAGGAGGATTATCCTGAGAGAAGAGCGGTAAAAAAAGGGTATGAAAAAAATTCAGTTTTGAGGTTTTCAGTTTTTTTTAAGTGACATTTCATTTTATAAAACCCATGAAACCCTTTTCAGGGATATTTGGAAGACATTTCCATCTGTATCGCCGATGCTAACTTTGAGTTATGAAAATTCATTCATCTTTCAGCTCACATCTTTTTTGACGACGCCTTCATCAGATATGAGGGAGATCCGGAGCCACATATCAACCAGTATGTAGAGAATCTTATAGAATCCGTCAATTACGCAGCGAGCCAAGTACACGAAACAAATGTTCGCGTCAAACCTCCGGTCATTTATCCCACTCCTTATGGAGGTAGATTAGTTTGGACTCTACCAGGAAAAACATTGATGATAGCGCACCTGAAAGACAAAGCAAAAATCAGAGCAAAGAAACGATGGTCCCAAGTTATGTACATGTATTACCTTCTTGGATTTAGGTAAGGTTTATAATCACTCACTGAAACTTTTGATTAATTTATTTGGTCCAAAGTTTTATCAATACATGTGATGATATCAAAAATGTTTCTACCTAAACAAAATATTTGATTTAATGTGCACTATGCTTTGTTTTTATATTTAAAAATATCATTGAGGTGAGCTTGAGAGATAAGATGTAGCTCCAAATCCTAGATATCTTGTTTTCTGTTATCGTCGACCATACTTTTTGCAGATGACAGACGAACAGGATGTTTAAAAATTTTCATTTTCGTTTCTTCATATTAAGTTTCTGTGCAAATTCGTGATGTTTGGCAAAACTGTATAGTATCGCGATATTTCACCTTCAATAATTGAACTGGCGTGTTCTACGCTATGCTCATGAACGAAATAGATACAGTAACTCTTTAAGATGGGACCATCAATTTAATGGTCATCAGGTCATCAAACTGTAATAGTTCTTTTCGTCAGAAAAGGTAATCTGGATTACTTAACTCCACTGTTCTTCAATATTTTTGTTTTATTGAAATAGAAGTGAAATATGTAGGTATTATCCTTGATCCTGGAACGTTAATTCGGAAAAGGTTTTATAGACTTGAAGCTTCAGGCCCAAACATCCGTTGTTGGATTTATATTCGTTCGTGATTATTGGCAACTGCCTGGTGGTCAACAGGTTAACAGCGGATCCCTGTATTGTATAGAGTCGGGCCTCCCTGAGTGAGTCAGTGTATCCTACCTCCTCTTCACATTTTCTGGGAGAGAAAAGCTGTATGAATACAATAATGTGCATATTAATAATTGTTCATACAGGCTTAGGTGAAGCGTATCGATTACTAGTCGATACTAACTAAAAGTCACAGCATCTGGAAACAACCTACATCAGTCCCATACAGTCATGATCCCAAGCAGAGAGGACTGAATCATTCAGATGGAAGAAACCATAAGTGTTTAAAAACACCTTCAGAGTCTAGTTCACATGTATACAGTCGCCGACCAAGGAAAGTGGTATCAGCCTGTCTAGAGTTTTATACAACCTTATTTGGGTTGGAAATCTACGTCATTGGTTTGTATGACAGAAGAGAGGTGAAAATCAACCGAATATATAGATCAATATAAATATTTCCAGTCAGCCAAGCGATTCTGGAGGCATTTGGGTCTCACCGGGAAACGTCCAAGTTGATAGTGAACTGTCAAAAAAGCACTTCCTATATCATTGGCATCATTTCAGGCGTTGCCAAATGAATACTAAATATCTGAAAGGATCGGTCTAGTTACAGGCTACTGTCTTCTGATTCAGCACATGGATGGACTTGTTCTCTCGGAAGAGGGTACATGTCTCTATCTCTTTATTTTTCGGGTTTGAGGGCCGTCGATTTTTGTAATTTCTTCCTGACGTTACGCTGACGGGAGTGGCTAGCTTCTTCAGAGGTCTATGCATCCTGAGTTTATCTCCAATGGCTTGACCCAGGTTGTTTGGTATGCTAATGCCTGTACCTAGATTAGGTAAATTGCGTGAAGCATGTTTATGTTGACGCAGGTAGTCTGGTGTGATAATACCTCCCTGCTTTGGAGATGAAGGGGACGCTCTGAACCTTTTCCTAGACCACTTGAACGCTCAACACCCCAGCATCGAGTTTACCATGAAGACTAGACAGGACCAACGGATAGAATTTCTAGATGTTCTCATCTAACGATGTGGAGAGTAACAAAGTAACCGAAGAGAGTAACAAAGTGTACCGAAAACTGATAGAGAGGAGTCATCTCTACTCTAACTGAATGGGCTCTAAGCATATGCGAACCAGAGCATCTGTTTAAATCTGTTTAAAATATGTTTTTTCATTAACCAGCTGTCGCACCCCTACGAACGACAACACTCAAAAGTCAAAACTAGTGCGAGCTAGGACTAACGAGGTCTTACCTTTTAACGTGTGATTCCTAACACGGGTTGGACGATAGCAAGTGAAAATCGATCGTTCAGCCTGGGGCTTGAACCAGCGACCAACCAACACGGCGGTCGATTTGAGTGAGCAAGGCACCCACGTCGAACCTACTGGCTACCGTCCGACCATCTAGAGCAGGGGTTTCCAAAAATCATATACTACATGGATCAATAAGTCCCGAGACTAACCCAGAGATGGCGCTCTTAGTAAACCAGTAACCACGTCTTTCTAGAGTACTAACCTTTGCTTGAAACGTGTCGAAATTTTAAGTCGATCGGACCAGAAACAGCTGAGTTATCGAGGTTAGAGTAAAGTCGTTTTGTAGTTTGTTTAAAAAATGGAAAAAACCGAGTTCCGTGTTCTGATAAAACATTGTTTTTTAATGGGTAAAAACACCGTGCAAGCGAAAGAATGGATTGAAAAATGTTACCCGGACTCTTGTCCATCAAAAGCAACGATTTGTCGGTGGTTTGCCGAGTTTAAACGTGGTCGTACCGACACAAATGACGCAGAACGCTCGGGTAGACCTGTGGAAGCTGTTACACCGGAAAATGTGAGTGAAGTGACAAAAATTGTAATGAAAGATCGTAAAGTGAAGCTCCGTGAGATTGCTGAGATGACACAGATATCATATGGAAGTGTATTTACTATCCTTCATGAAAAATTGAGCATGAAAAAGGTTTTTTCTAAGTGGGTGCTGCGATTGCTTTCGATGGAACAAAAACAGCAACGAGTCGATGATTCAGAAAGCTGTTTATCGCTATTTACTCGCAACAAAAAAGATTTCTGGCGTCGTTACGTGACCATGGACGAAACATGGATACATCACTACACTCCAGAGTCAAAGCGGCAGTCATCTGAGTGGCGCACAGCTGGCGAAAGCCGTTCGAAACGTCCGAAAACGCAGCAGTCAGCTGGCAAAGTGATGGCGTCAGTTTTTTGGGATGCGCATGGCGTGATTTTCATTGACTACCTCGAAAAAGGTAAATCGATCAACAGTGATTATTATATTGACTTACTGGTACGTTTGAAGAAGGAAATCGCAAAAAAACGACCGCACATGCAGAGAAAAAAAATCCTTTTTCACCAAGATAATGCACCTTGCCACAGGTCGATGAAAACAATGGCAAAATTAAACGAATTGGGCTTTGATCTGCTTCCCCACCCCCCATACTCACCAGATTTAGCCCCCAGTGACTACTGGCTCTTTGCTGATCTTAAAAAAATGCTCCAGGGAAAACGATTTGGCTCAAATGAGGAGGTCATCGCTGAAACTGAAACTTATTTTGAAGCGAAAGATACATTTTTTTATAAACATGGTATTGAAAAATTGGAAAAGCGTTGGAACCATTGTATCACCCTAAAAGGAGATTATGTTGATGAATAAAAAGAAATTTTGTAAAAAAAATGTTGTTTTCATTGTTAGTCTCGGGAACTTATTGATCCATTAAAATATAATTTTATAGTATTTATTTCGAAACTTGTTGTTGATTGCCTTTGATTAAAATATCAACATTAGGAGTAATGGAACTTATCTTCACTGTTAAGTTCTCTTCAACACTTATTCTGCTTGTATATTTATTTTCCATGTACAGGAGTTCAGAAAATCTACTCTCACACAAGTAACTCGAAACAAATGGAATCAAAAGTAGCAGAGCTTGCCGGAAGAGCAAATGGTTTTCGGTTTTACATCCGATCCAGAAATTAGTTAAAGATTTCTCTTTAAAATAATCTTCCATTGAATTATCTTCTGTAAGGTCGATAAAACTTTCTTTCAGTTCAAATTCATTTGGTGAGATTCCAGAAAAAGGATTTCTGATCCAGTCCACTTTTGAATAATCTTCAGAGAAATACTTCTTGAAGCTTTTCTTGAAGGCCTTCCAAGTGAACAATGATATCTGCAACCACATTTGGCATTGGATATTTCATTTTCTTCAAAAAATGATGATAGAGTTGGGAATGCAGATAAATTCTCATCCTGTATTTGTGAACAAATCAGAACCAACTTTCTCTTGAAAGAGTTTATTTTGTCACTGGCTGTGAAGGCTGTTGTGTTTGGTCCCTGAAGTCCCAAGTTCAGTGTGTTAAGTTTGTCAAAAATGTCTTGACATCCATTCTTCATCAGCAAACAATTTTTTCATGTCATGATTTTTTTCACTTGAAAACATGAAAACTCCTGATCTCAGTTCAAAGAGAAGGTTCAAAATTTTCCCGCGAGATAACCACCTCACTTCTGTATGCAGGAGTAAAGTTTTGAACATTTCTTCACACATCAAGGAGATGTGTGAAGCATCTGATAGAACGGAGTTAAGATTTTCCTGCATACTTTTAGCAGCTAATACTTCTCGATGGGTGTTCTAGACCTGTCAATTTTCCTGACATAGCTTTTGCCCCATCGATACACAAGCCAATACACTTGCACAAGGGAATGCCTGCTTTGACCACATATTCAATTATCTTAAAAATGAGTTCCGCTGTAGTATTTGATTCAAGTAGTTTGCAGAAAAAAAACTATTCTATCACCTCTTCATTATAATCAAATCGCACGAAAACAAGTAGCTGTGCCATGTTTGCAACTTCAGTGCTTTCGTCAACTTGAAGTGCAAAATAAGGGCATTCTTTGAATTTTGAAGCCAGTTGTTTTTCAATATTATTAGACATATCGTCAATTCGTTTTTTTACAGTGTTATTTGACAATGATATTTTTTTAATTTCTTTGGCTGCCTTTTCTCCTAACACGGCTTGAACCATATCCACAGCGGCCGGCAGTAAAAGCATCTCACCTATTGTGTGAGGCTTTTCATCTTTTGCAATTCTTAAACTAGCAAGGTATGACCCCTTTATCAAGTTAGTATCAGTATTGAACCACTTCGTCAAACATTGAGTTCATTTCTTTAAAAAATTAGATTTTCTTTTAAAAAATTAAATGGGTTTATCAATCAAATCAGGGTGCTTAGTATTTTGGTGTCGCATCAGTAAGGAAGGCTTCACGGATTGGTTCGAAAGTGTTTCAAGACATACAACAACACATTGAGGAATAGGAATGTCACTGGTTTCAGTCCCTGTCCTCACTAGAAAAGCGTACTGTAAGAAGCTTTCATCGTATTTACGATTGGCCGGTAATTTAGGTTTTTTAGCACAATCCTTTGAAGTGGAAGAGGACGTCAGAAATCGTTTCATAGTTCAGTTTTTTATACGAAATCAGAATTGATAATTACCACACCCACAACGAACCTGTAATGCCAAGTTAAAGTAAAAGACAATCCTTTCAAAGACCCACAGGTAAAAAATGAAACATCCTTTGTTCACCAATTGTACTATCTGGGAATTCCTATGGAAAATTCCCGAAGTGTTTTATTATTTTATTGCCAAGTAATTATAAATTCCAATGTTATAGAAAAACAAAGATGTCAGGGTTATGGGTATTTCGTTTTTCTAGCGACCCGTGAGCATCACTCACGCGTACCACCTGAATCGTTCCCGCGTACCACTGGTGGTACGCATACCACCGGTTGGGAACCCCTGATGTAGAGGAAGAGCTGGGAAATCTTCAAGTGACCTTGAAATAAATATACAACGATTTGGATGCATTGTAGATAACTACTTTCCATCTGGTATCGTTCTCAGAGCATATTTAGAATATTCCTGTAGTGCTTCATAAAACATAAATTGTAATATATTTCCAGGATAATGGATAATGATGAACTCACTCCGACGAGAATCAAAAACCAGTCAAAAAATACTTATATTCTTGCTTTAGACGGAGATATTGATTTCAAACCAGAGGCAGTTCATTTATTGGTTGACTATATGAAGAAAAATGATGGTCTTGGAGCAGCATGTGGTAGAATCCATCCTATCGGAGCTGGTGCGATGGCTTGGTATCAGGTGTTTGAGTACGCAGTAGGACATTGGCTACAGAAGGCAACAGAACACGTTATTGGGTGTGTGCTGTGTAGCCCAGGATGTTTCTCGCTCTTCAGAGCAGGAGCCCTCATGGACGATAATGTAATGGGCAAGTACACAACGGTTTCTACTGAAGCAAGGCATTATGTTCAATATGATCAAGGTGAGATATTACTCTGAGAAGAAAACTGCGAGGGATGTGAAAATTGTGTTGATTTGAATGATACTCACCCTCGATATTTAAATTCAAGAAAATTATCACCGGAAACTTAATGTATTGTGAAGAAAAGAGAAGAGAAATGAAACTTTCTATGTTTTTATCACTTTCATTTGTAACTATCGTTGTTACTACAGTTTCGTCCTATAAGGAAATTTCCAAACTTACACAATAAACTAACTCAGTAACGTAACTGCAGTAACGTTAGTTACAAATGCAAGTGGTAAAAAAAAGAAAGTTTCATTTCTCTATCCTTCGTTATGATTTCCTACCACGTAGTAACGGCTACATCCATCAATTTATTAATGTATTGTCTTGAAGTTATTCACTTCTCCATTAGTTGATTTTCTCTTCAGAAGATATATTGAGTATGCTTGAGTGCAGAAGTTCAAGCAGGATAAAAGTCCACTTCAGATGTTATTGTAATGACCGTTAGAATAATAGTTTCCTAAATATCACAAATTGAAACAGATCTATGAATAAATTGTTCAGAATGTAATTCATTTTGAGCTAAAAAGCAATGAGATATCGATCAAAAAAATACTTCTCCCACACAACTGAAACTGTAACCCTCTTCTGAAGGCGCCTTTCTAGTTCAGATCATATTTTGGTAACATCAAGCTGGTTGATGAAACATGCGCTGAGAAAATAATTACAGTTCTAGTATGTGGCAAGTTTTTCAGAAAAATACAATTGAATCCGGTGGGCGGTGATCAAATGGTATATCTGATCTATATTATAACTTATCGATAAACCATTATTGAATGGGAGAAATCTATTATTTCACCGAAGAAGAAACATATCTCTCTGTAAATTCACGCATAGATGTATTCGACTCTGTCGTTAGCGAATTATAATAATTATCATTATTGATCCCATGAAACAAGAACATTTATAACAGAGGTACAATTCCAAATAATAATTGAATTGAATATTCGAATATTCATCAGTTCAGCACATACAGTGTATAACGGTTACGGTACATATTTTTACAAAATCCCGAAACACGTCCAATTTAAATTATAATTTGATGTACTTCAACGGTAAAATGCTACCCTTGCCTTCAACCACCGTCGAATGACAGGTACAACCCTCAATTTTTTAAATGGAAAGTGTAGGCTCGTGATATATCATTTGAATGGTCTCTTCATTCTTTATTAAAAAATGTTATCTCTTTTGAATTTATTGCAACAATTAAGATAAAATAAATTAAAATCATGTGGTTGCCGAAATGCGATAAAATACACTCAAAACTTATTACAATATAGTCGAAACTTATTTTATGTTGAGGTATTGATAATAAGAAAATAAGCAAAAACTACAGCAATATTTTTTTAGATGGTATCCTTTAAAAAACTGTGTATAATTTCCGTGGCAACGTCAGTTTGAAACGCCTTGTCAACATGTTTTGTATGTTGCAACATTAGTTTTAACATACAACATTAGTTGTAGCATACAAAAGGTTGAAGTTTGTTAACTTCAAGTCCGACAAATGGTTAGATTAACGGAAATGCATAAAATAACAGTGTTACAAATGATTGGTTACGGAAATAAAACACAACAGGAAGCAGCCCGCCTATTCCATGGAATAGGCGCCCATATCTCAAGGAACAATAAGCAAAATACAGAAGCAGTTTCGCGAGCTTGGTCATGTGGGACAGATAAAAAAACAGCTGTCAATGCAATGAGTGATGAACTCAAATTAGATGTGATGCCTGAGCAAAAGATGGACATATTGGATAACAATACCATCCAATTAGAAGACGTTGTTTTCTGATGAGTGTACTTTGTCTCTTAACGGTTATGCTAAGAGGCAAAATTGCCGCTATTGGTCAACGGAAAATCCTCACTGGATGAGAGAAGAGCACACGCAATACTCTCAAAAGGTTAATGTTTGGACAAGGATTGTAGGAAACCATATCATTGGTCCCTTCTTCATTGAGGGCAACTTGAATGGCGATCATTATTTGGTACTACTTCAAAATGATGTCATAGTTTAGCAAATTTATATCCTGAATCAGGAAACCCTCAAGTTCCAGTGAATACGATATAATTTCAGCAGGATGGAGCACCACCACATTACCAAGTTAATGTCCAACAATCCCTCGATACAACATTTCCCAATCGGTGGATAGGGAGGCGACAATCGATTGAATAGCCAGCGCGATCACCTGATCTTTCATCATAAGATTTCTTTTTATAGGGATATGTGAAGAGCAATGTGTACGGAACAAAACCTTCAGATTTGAATGACTTGAAAGAACGAATAACCCTTGCGATTAGGTCGGTTAAATAATGTTAGGAGACACTTTCATTTGATATTAGGATGTTGTCAAGACGTTTGCGGTGAATATTTTAAACTTCTACTTCGTTAACATCCATAGTTCTTTTTCGTATCCTACATTTCATCACGTTTTGCGTTACATTTTAGTTTTTCAATGTATTTTATCGAATTTCGGTAATATAATTTTTCAATAGAGAATGAAGAGACCTTTCAAATGATATATCACAAACCCATGCTTTATATTAAAAAAATTGGGGGTTGTATCTGTCATTCGAAGGAGGTTGAAGGTAAGGCTGGCATTTTTACGTTGAAGTATGTCAAATTATATTTTTTTCTGTGACCGGAAAAAAGTTTGACATTTTATCTCTGATGATAGGTAACAAAATGTCACTTTTTATGAAATTACTTCATTCCCCGGAATAACTTATCGAACACTCAAAGTCCTTTTTTAAAAATCAATTTATTTAGTACAACAAAAATAATTAGACAAAGGTACGTCTTTACAGTAGGAAAGTTTGATTATGAATGCCGGCCAGTTCCCTGGAATCTTCGCAAGTCGGCTTATCTCCCGGTGTACGCTTTCGTAGACTTAGCATTCTTTCTATGGGAACCGTGTTGGACGTTGATATAATTCCTCCCCCACAAAATTCAACTCCGGAGGGAAAGCGAGGGAGTTGAACATAGGAAAGTTCTATGTCTCCTTTTGGGCCTTGACTGGGTCGTCGATGGATATAACATGGCAACATCAGCTTCTTATAACAGATGTACAGCAATACCGTGAACAATACTAAGTAAATGGTTATTGTCCACAAACTAGGGGTGTGTGAAATTCTACCAAATGACACGTCTGGTTGATTATTAATGATTTGAGTTTTAATTTCTTGAAGTTCGTCCAGTTTAATATCCTCTAACTGGATGCTGGAATTCAGGTTTGGAATGGATTCGACTTCTAGGCTCAGATCAGGTAGATCAGGTATTGGTTGGGCAGGGGGTCCTGGCTGATCAGGAGGTTCTGGTTGGGTGTTCATTGGCGGTTCTACGTCAGACGAAACTTGAATTGAGGCGTTGTCTTCGTTATGTCTGTCAGTATTATTCTCGACGGCATCGTCGCCAACATTTACCATAACAGATACGTCGTCTAAGTCTGGCAAAGGATCTCCGATGATTTGGATATCAAAAGAAGGAATCATTCAGATGGAAGAAACCATAAGTGTTTAAAAACACCTTCAGAGTCTAGTTCACATGTATACAGTCGCCGACCAAGGAAAGTGGTATCAGCCTGTCTAGAGTTTTATACAACCTTATTTGGGTTGGAAATCTACGTCATTGGTTTGTATGACAGAAGAGAGGTGAAAATCAACCGAATATATAGATCAATATAAATATTTCCAGTCAGCCAAGCGATTCTGGAGGCATTTGGGTCTCACCGGGAAACGTCCAAGTTGATAGTGAACTGTCAAAAAAGCACTTCCTATATCATTGGCATCATTTCAGGCGTTGCCAAATGAATACTAAATATCTGAAAGGATCGGTCTAGTTACAGGCTACTGTCTTCTGATTCAGCACATGGATGGACTTGTTCTCTCGGAAGAGGGTACATGTCTCTATCTCTTTATTTTTCGGGTTTGAGGGCCGTCGATTTTTGTAATTTCTTCCTGACGTTACGCTGACGGGAGTGGCTAGCTTCTTCAGAGGTCTATGCATCCTGAGTTTATCTCCAATGGCTTGACCCAGGTTGTTTGGTATGCTAATGCCTGTACCTAGATTAGGTAAATTGCGTGAAGCATGTTTATGTTGACGCAGGTAGT